ACAAAATCAGGTGCAAACAAATTTATAGAGATAGGCCAACACATACGACTGTGCAGATTATGTACTGCACAACTCTAAGAGGTGCTATTCACAAAGCAATGACCCTACACTGACCTACTTAAATCAACTGTTCATGACTCCCAGAAACCTCCATTTACTCATAAGCAGCAGTAACCAGTACTCTCATCTTTTTTTAAGTAGGCACCATGCTCTGCATGGAGCCTAGTGTAGGGCTTGACCTCACACCCCCTACTAAGATCAAGACCTGAGCTAAGATCAAGAGTCAAGACCGAATGAGCCACCCAGGCATCCCTCTCATCTTTTTCTTGATGTAGGTTCCTAAGAACCTCTTCTTGACCACACGTAGCTTGTCCTATTTACTATCTGTCTGTGGTTTTCTAGATAGGGCATCAGTTCAGCCTTGCAGTTAATTGAGATTATTAATCCCCCTCCCTTCCCTGCTATCCGTTTTAGTGAGGCTTTGATCTTATAATCATTAAAGATGAAATTATTTTTAACATGAACTCTTTTAAAACATTTACCTTTGTTTTCAGTTTTTTATTTTCTTCTACAATAGCTTCATATTTTTCTTTCATTTCTGCCAATTCTAGGCGAAGCAGCTCTATTTCTGGATTTTCTGGGGTAGCAGCTCCTAAGTGATGCTTTAAGAAACTAATATCAAAGTTAAGAATTTACTTGAGCTGAATGAAACTAATGAAATATCTCAGAGTAGTATCAATATCTCTGATCACGGTCACCCCATCTTACCACCACCATTTACCCAGAGATCATCATCACAAAACTTGAAGTAACTTTTTCAATCATCAAAAATATTTCAAATATTATTTATGTGAAAAAATAAGAGTTCCAAAAATAAGTCCTTTTTCTGATTTGAAAGATGAAAAGGATACTCCAAAGCACTATTAGGTTTCTCTGGTTCTTCATATAAGGCTACCAATACTGCAAATCAAAAAGCAGAAAAAAGCAACAATTAAAGTCTTAAATTTGACTGAAATTATATTCCATAGCCCAGTAAATATTAAGTGCCCATTATATGCCAAGCACATTGCTAGGGCTGCCATACCATGGTAAACAAGGCAGATAAGGTCCCTGCTCTCAACAAATTTACAGTCTAGTGCAAAGGCAAGGAACTAGACAAAAAAAGAGCATCAAGCGGCAATACAGGATGATGGATTATGGGAGCACATTGGAAGAACACCTAACTCAGCCCAAAGCACCAGGGAAGGCTCCCCAATGAAGGGAAATAAGATGTGAGACTTGGCTCTGAGGGTTTCAGATAAAATGGGAAGGTGAGGGGGTGGGGAGGGCAAGAGAACAACATATTGAGGAACTGAAAATTCAAATATGGCTAGATGGAGCTATGAACTATGTGGCAGGGAAGGAAGCTGGCAAGGTGGTCAGGAGGCAGACCAGGAAGGATCCAGCAAGTTTGGTTGGACTTTGATGCTCAGAACAGGAGGCATATAATTAAACAGTTTAAGCAGGACAGTGACAGGATCGCTCTTGACTGCTGTGTGAAAGATCCAGAGTGGGACAAGGATGAAGGCAGGAAGAGCAGTTAAGAGGCAGGTGTCCTAATCGATCTGAAAAAGATAGTAACCTGCGCTAGCGTGATGGAGGGGTGAAAACAAAGTAGATTAATTTGAGAAAAATTTTGGAGAATCAACAGGACTTATGGTAATTACCGGAAGAAGCTTTGAATTCAAAGTGTGCTTCAAGAATAGTTTCATATACAACATGCTAAATAACCACCAACCAAAAACTTTACCAGTAATCGACATGCTCAGATCAACATTAAAATAGATGTTTTAGTTTGTACCCAAAAGCTTATGTCAGCACTACCTTTCTCATCTTCTATTGAACAAATTCCTCCTAGGATTTACTACTCAGACAAAAATCTCTCTAAACCAGTGGTTAAATTTTTGTGCATGGAACCCTTTGAAAAATGACTAAAGCCAAAAATGTAACTACACACACAAAAAAAATGTGCATCTCTAGACTCCAAGAACTGCTGTAAAACTTACACGTTTCCTTTTTTATTTTTTTAGTTTTAGTAATTCATCAAAATAATACACAGTATGAAAAAGTCAAATGACAATCAATGACTTTTAACAACCTGGACTGAGTTCTGATACTCTTCTAAATGTATTACAACCCGTTTTTTTAAGAATCTGGTATGTTTACATCACCAGCCCCCTCTCCCTTCAATATGTTTTTCTTTAAATTACATACTCAAGCCTGTTTCTTCTTCCACTAATTTCTACTGATCTCTGCCAACTAACTCTATAAGACATGAATAACTCTTAGCCTTTCTACCTCTTCTGCACCCCATTTCTTTCAGCTTCTAAATTTCTGTCAGTGCTACCATGAGTTTGATAGTTACAGAACACAATGTAAATGTCAAGCTTCCTGTGCTTTTCTATAGATGAAATATACTTCCTTTTAATCAGACAAGAACTTGATAGCTGGTGTTTCCCTTTTTGCCTTAGAGGTGGGATTTTTTAGAGGTTAGTGTGGTACTCAAATGCCTTTTTCCAAATGACTTCTCTTTATCTTTAGCCATCCTTATAGTGTTTTGATGTTAGAAGCAGTTTCAGATCCTCTTAGAAATAAGCTGTATTAAAATCATAAATTTGTGGAAAGTACCCACGTTTGGAGCTGAAAAATCAAATTTTAGATAGGTCACATCAGTAGACACTATGTTATCTGATATTGAGGAGACTGGAAGTCTACAGAGATGGAGGAGTTAGATGCCAATAGATGTGACCAAGAGAAAAGAAGCCTTCAGTGGTTTCCAGTCTCATGAGGGAAGATCCATGTATGGCCACAAGGCTGTTACCCCCTGCCAAGGTCACTTCTCTGCCTTCCTACATTCTGTCTTTAATTTCATGCAGTCACCCTGGCCTCCTTGCACTTCCTGGAACTCTTGACATCACATTTCATTCAGATCTCTGCTCAAATGTTACTTAAAAGAAACCTTCCCCCACCACCTCTTGCTCTTTATCCCCCTTTGCTGTATTTTCATTCATAACAATTCCCACTGGCTGGCACTACTTATTTATCTGTCTCCACCAACTAGAATAGAAGCTTATTTGGAGCAGGGTCTTTCTTTTCTTCTTTCCCCACTGATGTATCCCCAGTGCCTAGAACAGAGACCTGAATAAAACAGTTTAACAAATGAAAGAAAAGAACTCATGGAGTTTTTTTAAGGTTGGGGGGGTCGGTATTGAAATTCCAAGTTTCTGTGACATTTCAAGAGAGGACAGAGCACAGCACTTTCATAGAGTACTCCTGTAATGTTTGCTGAAATTTAATTGTATTAATTAATTGTATTTAATTTAATTGCAGATAGAAGGAAACTAGTACCCAAACCTAAGGTAGGTAGCAATTCAAAATCATCAGCCCAGGTATGGGAATTAAAAGCCCTGCTTTGTGCTAAGGTCCAGTTGTTACTCTCCCAGATTTTCTCCTAATAAGCTTTGCTTCTGGCCAAAGAGCAGTTACCAAATTATCTCCCAGACGCTTCTCGTGTGGACGCAGTCATCATCCCGAACAGCTTTTCTGTTCTATACCCTTGAAAGTCCTAGCCAGTGAGTTGAACGATACATAGCAGGCATTCACATTATTGCTGAGCTAATAAGCAGTAGCCCAACTGTCTCCTGGAACGCTGCAGTTTCAAGCTCCTTCCTCATCTCAGGTCTTGAACACAGGCACACACAGACATACACCCCCCCCCCAGAAAGAGATACAGTGTCACAGCTTCCATCTTAAGTGTAAACAATATAACCATTTTCATGTGCCCTCAAGCTCTTTAAACTCTAATTCTACTTCGGAAATCTGCACAGGGCAGGAACTGGCATAGCCTACGAAAGCGGGGCTGTAAAACCACAAACTGATTCTTAATCGCCTATTTGGGGGATTCGGTTCACCTGGTTATTTTTATCCGCAACTTTGGAAATCCGGTCATTTTCCCCCTTGCCCTTTGTCCGGGGGGAAACATGCTGCTTTACCTAATTTTGACTCCGCAAAAAGTGTCAGGAGGGAGGGATTGGGATCTCAGGGTCTTTAGCAAACATGCCTTGTGCGGCCGCTGGAGGCAAAGCAACGGAAGTTGGAGGGACTTTGCAACAGCTGCAAGAGTTCCACTCCCCGCCCGGAGAGCGCGGTGGCCCGGCGCGGGCGGCGTCCCCGCCGAGCCCCGGGCCCACCTGGCAGCGCCCACCTGCTGCCCCTCCCGCCCCCGCCCCGCGCCTCGGCCCGGCAGGGGCGCAGCGCCGAGGAGCACGACGTGGACACGAGGAGCCCCCTCCGGCGCATGCTCACCCTTGGTCAGCGTGTCCAGCACCCCCGACTTCTCCAAGTACCTCCGGAACTGCTCGCGCTTCGAGTCGGCGGCCTGAGGAGACACGGCGGGTCAGCGGCCGAAGCGCAGGGGCCGGAGCAGGAAGAAGGCGCTGGGAGTCCGGCAGCCCCGCCTCCGCCTCCGCCTGGCTACTCAGGCCCCCCAAACCTGCGCGCGCGCCCCCACGCCCTCCCGGGGCCGACCAGCGGCTGGCTCCCGCCCGCACGCCCCCAGCCACGCCGCGCCCCCCTCACTTTGTAATGGGCCATAGTGACAGCGGCAGCGGCGTAGCTGGCGCCCGAGACCGTGGCTGGCGGGCTCCGAGCCGCACTGCTCATGCGCCGCAGGGCGCGCGCGCCTGCGCACTTGCGAACCGCGGTCGGCGAGCGCGGGGGCGTGGCCTGTTTTCATGACGACGGGGACGCTGCGAGGGCCCCGCCGCTGGCCGGGCCGAGGGAGGCTGCGCGCGCCCGCCTCCTGCTCCCGGGGCCGCGCCTCGCCTTCCTCTTCCGGTCCCTGCGGCGGTTCGGTTGCTCAGCGAGAGGCGAGGTCGAGGGGACTCGGGACGGGCGTCCAGGTGGGGCCGGAGGGGGCGGGGCGCCCGGGGGCGGGGCCTGCAGGGGCCGGAGCGCGGCGGGCTGCGCGGGCGCGGGGCTGGGCGCACCTGCCTCCCCGGGACCTCGGTAGGGGCGCTAGCCCACCTGGACGCGCTGACTTCCCGGCGCTCCTCCCGGAAAGGGGCGCGCGACCCGCCGCCGGTCGACCGAGCGCTTGGAATCGTTGTGTTTCAGCTCCAGCTGTTCACTTTCAGAGTTTGTTTTGTGGCCGGCGTGATTGAGAAGGGCCCCTGGAGGGTGAGCAGTGACGTCGTACTGGGTGCCGGTGTTAAACAGGTTTCTTCTTTTCATTCTCCTGCAAGGTAGGCGCTGGTGAGTGAAGTGGTTAGAGGAACCAGGGGAGTGTGGAGCTACGCCCGCCAACCTGGGCAATGAATCACGATGCTCTGAAGCCACCGATCTTTTTTAAGATTTTATTTACTAGATAGCAACGTCATCGTTACACTCAAGAGGCAGCAAGTTGCAGTCTATAAGGAAACTAAATTAAGTCCCATTGACAAACAAATTAACCATCGTCCAGAAACAAAAGATTCGCAACCAAAAGGGAGGATGATGTAGATCCAGAACCATCTCGCAAGGCTGTACTTCCTTCAAGGAAAAACCTGGTTCCAAACCGTGAAGCCTCAGTTCTGAATTTGTGACTTTGCAAGAATCAGTTTTCATGGATTCCGAAGGGAGCCTGTGAAGCAGTAACCCTGATTTGGTAACTATGGCTTTGAATTTAAAACTGCCCCTTCGCCATTCAGAATTGATGCGTGTGTTTTTCTTCTTGAGATGGGTTTGCAATGTTCTGTCGGAACAGCTGGTCTTTAGAGCTGCCCTTAACCTGTGCTCCACCACCACTAGGCTACCTCTGTGATAACAATATGCAGAAAGTCTAGGAGCCCACAGCTGCTCAGATCTGCAGGTCTGTGGGAGCCCGCCTGCCAGTGAGGTGGTTTGTCAGCAACACTAAATGATTTGGAGGACAAGCAGTAGGATTATTGCAGCCTCTGACCAAATCAGATTCGAAGGTCAACTGTCCCAAAGAATCAGGAGTGTCTGAAATGTCAGGTGCTTGGCAGTCTCCCTGCGAAGGGGGAAGGGTTCTAATTGTGCCCTCTCTGAACTGACCCTTGAGGTTTCCTTTAGGGGGTGACCCCCGATATTCCTCTTCTGGAGAGGGACTCCATGTCGTGCTAAGCCACGACTGTTCCCAAGCACCCTGAGCAGGCGGAGGGAAAGCTGTTTGGGATGACTGCCCCATGTGATTGTCCAGTTCTATAGCAACACCTGGAATAGAACAATGACCTCTAGAGCAGTGGTTCCTTTTGCCGTCTTTGCAGGCCATTTCTCTCTTTTCCTTTAATGGGGTACCCACTTCTCTTCTAAATATTTTATGAGTGTCTTCATTATTACATGAGCTGATGTGTTGAAGATGACTACACGTAGCACTAAGTGTACACATCTCATCAGAAAGTACAGTTTCTTGTTCATCCAAAATGCATTTCTCATCATTTACACTGTGGTTGTCAGGATCTGCCTGGAACGCAGGTGAACTTAAACTAGGACACGCTGCTGGGTGTTTTTGCTTTTCCATTAACAGATAATAATCAGGTGCAGGAGAGAATCCCTTCAGTGAGTTTGCAGATGTGCTCTGATATTTGGCAAGATTTTGTTTTGACTTGTTTGCAAAGAATTCATTATGCTCATCCTTCAACTTATATTGTCCCCAAAGCCCTCTTTTAATCTTTTTAAAACCGAGGTGGAAAATTTCTAGAACATTTAAGAAAAGTGAAACAGTGGCTATAGATTGCATAAATAATAGGAATATTGTCTTTTCTGTTGGTCTTGAGACAAAGCAGTCAATTACATTTGGACATGGGTGACCATGGCATTTAAATAAAGGCTGTAAATGAAATCCGTATAAAAGATACTGTCCAATCATGAACCCAACCTCAACCATAGAGCGAGTGAAAATATGTACCACATAAGTGCAAAGCAGGGTTCCTCTGAGTGGAGCTTTATTTAGTTTCCTTTGTTCCAGCTGACAGAGTTCTTGCTCCAGTCTTCTCCGATCCCCAGGCACTTCAAACCCCACCCCCTCCAGTGCTCCTCTCAGTTGAGCTTTCCTCCTCTGCCTCTCTTTCTCCAGAACCCGCAGTCGGTACAAAGCATGGCCCATATAGACCAGGGACGGTGAAGACACAAATATCACCTGCAAAACCCAATATCTAACGAGGGAGATAGGAAAGGCCTGGTCATAGCACACATTTCTGCAGCCAGGTTGTTCTGTATTACAGATGAAGCCAGACTGCTCATCATTCCAGACATCTTCAGCTGCTACACCCAGAACAAGCATTCGAAATATGAACAGGACAGTGAGCCAGATCTTTCCAATTATGGTGGAGTGGATGTGAACTTCCTCCAGGATGCCTCCAAGGAAATTCCAGTTCCCCATGCTTATTTACTCAGCCATCTTCACTCTGAACCCCATCAGATAGGAGACAGATAAATTCTTCTATTCTGAAGGGCGTGCTGTTTCGTAAAGCAAACCTATGGCCAAAACATGAACAAAGCATCACTCTCTAAGTGTACTGGTTGCTCTACTTTTTCCCTAGAGAACTGATCATTTTATCAAGAATATATGTAAGATATCAGGAATTTAAAATCACTTATGTTTAGACGTCATAATGCAGTGAAGAAAAAAAAAAGATACCTGGAGGAGGCGGTTGTATATATTCTCTATGAAGAATAGAATGTAGATGGGTATTTGGCTGACTCAGAAAAGCATGTGACTCTTGATCTTAGGGTTGTGAGTTCAAGTCCCATGTTGGGTATAGAGATTATTTAAAATAAGTAAATAAAACTTAAAAAAAAACAACAATCGTAGGATTCCCTACAAGAAAGGAATCTTGTTATTGTTAGCTGAAGTTTATTACTGTTTTACTTTGTTTAACGGAGAACTTTTGGAGAGGTTTCTAAGACTACTGACATGATTTTATAAACCTCTTTATTAAGATTATATAAAAATTATAACCAAAGTCAGTGCTTTTAAAAACCTCATTTATACACTCAAGGGAAAATGAATGGGTTTCTTTTGATAAGTCAGTAAGATACAGCACTTAATGAAACCATAGGAAACAGATCTGGTTTTTGCTAAAGAATTTAGATTTGTTTTTTAATCCACATATAAGTGTCAAATTTCTGGTGGCTTTCTGGCAGTTGTTGAGCATTTTCGAAACAAATTTCAGTAATATTTATGAATATCTGTAAAATCCTTAATAATTGTATACATTTTTATCATCTTAAAATGAACTCCAGTTAACTAAGTAAAATTTAAAGATTAATGCAAAAAAAAAAAGAACTCCAAAAATGTTCAACTATTTTTGTGCTACCAGAATGATATTAGATAGTTCTTGAAATAAACTGATGGCTGTTGTGGTGGTGATATTTTTTCATTGTAACAATATTTGACCTATTTAAGACACTTTAGCTTGCTTTTGTGGAAGGAGCAGTGGGCAAATTATAATTTACATGCTTGGATTATCAAGCAGTACATTCCATATTAAGATAGATATCCTAGTTCTAAGAGGAAGTTACATCCCACAGGAAAGATACAAAGAGGAATGTTTTTGTAACTTTAATTTAAAATATCAATGTGTATCCTATATCCTATATGTAAAGGGAAATGTTACACAATTAAAGACTGGGATGCTAAGACTATACTTTCAGGGATCATTTCTATAGTTTGTTACTAGAGAAGTTTCTCTGAACGTGTAGGGTACCGGTCTCATTCATTTGGGGAATATAAAAAATAGTGAAAGGGAATAAAGGGGAAAGGAGAAAAAATGAGTGGGAAATATCAGAAAGGGAGACAGAACATGAGAGACTCCTAACTCTGGGAAATGAACTAGGGGTGGTGGAAGGGGAGGTGGGCGGGGTTTGGGGTGACTGGGTGACGGGCACTGAGGTGGGCACTTGATGGGATGAGCACTGGGTGTTATTCTATATGTTGGCAAATTGAACACCATTAAAAAATAAATTTATAAAAAAAATAAAGGCTGGGATGCTATAGCTAAATGATATATTCATCGCAAAAATCTTAGAAGGTAGGTATGTTGTTTCCTCAGTTTACAGATAGAGAAACTGAGACACACCTTACATTATACCCAAGGTCAGGGCACCTGGGTGGCTCAGTCGACCAAACATCCAACTCTTCTTTTTTCTTTCTTTTTTTTTAATTTTTTTTAATTTTTATTTATTTATGATAGTCACAGAGAGAGAGAGAGAGGCAGAGACACAGGCAGAGGGAGAAGCAGGCTCCGTGCACCGGGAGCCCGACGTGGGATTCGATCCCGGGTCTCCAGGATCGCGCCCTGGGCCAAAGGTAGGCGCCAAACTGCTGCACCACCCAGGGATCCCCTTCTTTTTTCTTTTTTTAAGATTTTTTATTTATTCATGATAGACACAGGGAAAGAGAGGCAGAGACACAGGCAGAGGGAGAAGCAGGCTCCATGCAGGGAGCCCGACATGGGACTCGATCCCGGGTCTCCAGGAATCACACCCTGGGCCAAAGGCAGGCGCTAAACCGCTGAGCCACCCAGGGATCCCCGAAACATCCAACTCTTGATTTTGGCTCAGGTCATGATCTCAGGGTTGTGAGATCAAGCTCCATATCAGGCTCTGCACTAAGCGCAGAGTCAGCTTGGGATTCTCTCTCTCCTTCTCCCTCTGCCCCTCCCCACAAAAAAATAAATAAAAATCTTTAAATTACCCAAGGTCACACAGCTGGAACTGGCATTAAAAATCAGTGTGGGGAAAAAAAATCAGATTAAAGTCAGATCCTATTCTACTAAACTGTTATTTTTCCTATTTGGGTGCACTGAGATTTGCATGAAAAAAAATTAAGAAATCATCTGTTTTCTCTTAAAAGTTTATTTAAATTAGGTATGTCAAATAGTGATCATCTGGGCTTTTTAAATAACTGGTTCTAAAGTCTTTAGTTCTTTTTCTAAAACTTAGTACAGTTTAAAAGGTTGCAAAAGCATCAACCTTCTAAATTTAGTTGTATTCCTGAGTTAGAGAAAATCTCTATTTACCTTTTATAATGTTAATGATAGTATATTCTTTGATCCACAATCCAAAACACTTTAAAAGTGTAAACAATGTTATTATTCATATTGTTTATAATAATCACAAAATGAAAATGTCCAAAATAATTATCAATACAAGAAAGAGTATCGTCCATAATCAATAATAGTCCATCTATAGTATGGTACTATGCAACCAAAAATGATAAATACTACTAATATAAAAAGATATTTGGGGGATGCCTGGGTGGCTCAGCGGTTGAGCATCTGCCTTCAGCTCAGGGCGTGATCCTAGAGTCCCAGGATCGAGTCCCACATCGGGCTTCCTGCATGGAGCCTGCTTCTCCCTCTGCCTGTGTCTCTGCCTCTCTCTCTCTCTCTCTCTCTCTGTGTGTGTGTGTGTGTGTGTGTGTGTCTCTAATGAATAAATAAATAAAATCTTTTAAAAAAAAAGATATTTGATATATCATTTCAGTTTACAAAATAGAACAGTATGACCCCATAATTGTATATTTGTTTATATGTACTGATGCATACAAAAAAGCCTAGAAGGATACTCATCAAGGTATTAACTATGGGGGTGTCTGAGAGGCCCCGTCAGTTAAGTGGTGTGCCTTAACTGAATAAAACCTTAAAAAAGAAAAAAAAAAAGATACTATGATAATCTCTGGGTGTATGATTACAATCGACTTAATTTGTTATAATTATATGTATTTTAATTTGTTTTTACCATGAGCACCTCTATAATCCCCCAAAAATGCTGTTGTTGCTTTTCACCTTAAAGTACAAAAGCATAGAATTTACTGAAAGAAGGAGCAGTAAATCATTTAGCTACAAATCTTAGGTTCTGAAGCTTTCATATCCAATGACATGAATACTAGTATACACAGATTCAATCCCATAGAATTCAAAAAGAAAACATTTCAAACAACTCTTTCTTAATTTGCAAAAACAGAGATTAACACAAACCTGTTTAGATAAATCGGAGAAGCAGGTCATGTTTGTTCTCTGAAAGTGTCCCTTTGCAAGTGTAGAAAAGTTCAGTCTGAGCAGTGAGTCAGCGTCAGCTCAAATCATTTGGACTCATTGTTCTTGCTTCTACAACCCTCCCTGGGTTGTAAAAAACTCTCTCTGGACTGACCAATAAGGTAGCCACTAGCTACAGATAACCATTGGGTGCTCGCATCATGATTTGTGTAACACAGGAACTGAGTTTTTTAATCTTACTTAATTTTAATTAAAACGTAAGGGCTTGGGGCAGCCCCGGTGGCTCAGCGGTTTAGCACCGCCTGCAGCCCAGGGCGTGATCCTGGAGACCCGGGATCGAGTCCCGCATCGGGCTCCTTGCGTGGTGCCTGCTTCTGCCTCTGCCTGTGTCTCTGCTTCTCTCTCTCTCTAGCTGTGTCCCTATGAATAAATAAATAAAATCTTTTAAAAATATATTAAAAAAAATAAAAATAAAACGTAAGGGCTTTCATGTGCCTTGTGGCTACTTTATTGGACAGGACAGATGAAGAATATTTCCACTATTTCTAATAACACAGCAGCTTAGAAGACAGAAGTGATAAGCCCCAAATTAAGCTGTTCAGATGGTTCCTCTATAATTCAGAGATGTCAAATTTAAAATACCAGATGTTTGCATGCTTTTTTTTTTTTTTAACAGTAATTTTGCCCCCTGGGGAAACGAATTAAATAGTACTGGTTGGGATAATATGCACCATGTTTCTAGTACCAAAAAGTCCCTGACTAAAAATGGTTTCATCGTTCGATGAATTGTTTCTCTGTCTAGTTTTCTGTTATGAACAATTAGACTTCCGTTTAGGTCATTAAAGATCTCAAGTCTTCAGAGCTAGTGACCTGATGGGTTGACCATGACAGATGAGTATTTCTCCTCTGGGCTTTTTTTTTTTTTTTTAAGGTTATTTGTTTGTTTGGTGGTGGTTTTTTAGATTTTATTTATTTATTCATGAGACCAGAATGGGGCAAAGATACAGGCAGAGGGAGAAGCAGGCTCCCTGCGGGGAGCCCAATGTGGGACTCGATCCCAGGGCCCCGGGATCACAACCTGAACCAAAAGCAGACACTCAACCCACTGAGCCACCCAGATGCCCCAAAGATTTTTTATTTTTAAGTTATCTCTACTCCCCAGCCTGGAGCTCAAACTTACAACCTTGAGAGCATGCTCTACCAACTGAACAAGCCAGGCACCCCTTCTCTGGGCTTCTTTGCCAATTAATAGATACTTTTCAGATTAAATGCAACTATTTCACAGCGAAAAAAGTATAAATATTTATTCATATTTGTATATTGTATAAATTACATATAATATGTAATATATAAATTATTAATAAACTTGGAAAACACTAAGCCTCATTAAACAAATACAAATCTCAGTGAAGTATTTATTTTTTAACTATCAAAATGCAAATTTTTCAATGATTTACAATACCTGCTTTTTGCAAAAGTGAGGAAAATTACTATCATCTACTTTCAATAAGAATATAAATGGATGCAGCTACTTAAAAGGCAGTTTAAATCTGAAAATTAACATTTCTGCTTCTGGGTGCTTAAAAGATTCATTCAGCAATCATGCTCAAAGGCACACTGCATGTACTAGGAAATTCACATAGTGAAATTCACATAGGGTTGATAATAGTACAAAATCAGTAGCCTGAGTGTCCAATAGAGGCGTGGTTAAATAACCACAGTACGTCTTTATCCTTCAGCAACTCAGAGAATGAAGGTCTCTATGTCCCATTATAAACTAAGTTACAGAGCAATACATGTAGTATAATCTCACTTATCTTGTTAAAATCTGCATTTCATACGTATATTTAATTACCTGGAACAGAGATTAACCCAGATCTTTCTTGAGAAGCAAATCATTCTTAGAAATTATCCCACAGTATCTTCAACATGATCTCCGAACTTGCCCCTTTGAGGGTGCAGAGCAGATTCAGTGCCGTTCACTGCAGTGAGTGAGCCAGGCCTCAACTCAAATCCATTTTCCTTTCTGTGCATGATGGATGGAAAAAGTTCTGTGAGAACACACCCAGCTGTCGACAGCAGGCATCACCAGGGAAAAGAGAAGGTTCGGGGTGGGAAGGTAAGAAGGACTCTTTTAACTTCTTGTTCACATCTTTGTTTAACCAAAAACATGGCCCCAAAGCCTGCAGAACAAGGAGGTGAGGCAAAAGAGACACAAAACTCCCATGCATATTCTCCTACTCAAATTGAAAAACTTTTTTTTTTAACAAATCTCCGATCCATTTTTCTCAATATGGTGAAATAATACATTTCTCAATATATCTATGTATTTTTTTTAACAAATCTCCGATCCATTTTTCTCAATATGGTGAAATAATACATTTCTCAATATATCTATGTAAGTAGTTATGCTCCTTTCAGGATACAGCAACATGTATGTTTGTTTATTTATTTATTTATTTATTTATTTATTTAGCAACATGTTTACATAGGTGTTTATAAATAAAACACACCAATGATGAAAGAAAAAATTGTATTTCCTGTGTTCACATGGCCCCAAACTACTATTTTTGGAAAAGACTGACCAAGGTGCCTGGGTGGCTTAGTTGGTTAAGCATCTAATTCGTGGTCTCAGCTCAGGTCTTGATCTCAAGGTTGTGAGTTCAAGCCCTGTGTTAGGCTCCATGGAGCCTACTTTTTTTTTTTTTTTTTTTTTGAGCGAGGAGAGGGAGGGGGGGAGGGAGGGGCAGAGGGACAGAGAGTGAATCCCAAGCAGGCTCCAGGCTGAGCTCAGAGCCCAATGGGGGGGGGGGGGGGGCCTCCATCCCATGACCCTGAAATCATGACCTGAGCCAAAATCAAGAGTCAGATGCTTAACCAACTAAGCCACCCAGGCGTCCCAACATGAAGCCAACTTAAAAAAAAAAAATAAATAGCCAACAATCTGGGTTCTATAATAAGAAAGGAGACAGGCTTCTCAGCCTTCAGATCTGACATTTTACCTTTTGTAAATAAATCCTACCCACTCCCAGGAGAGCCACTCATGTAAAGGAAGAGAATCCAGGGATCCCTGGGTGGCTCAGAGGTTTAGCGCCGCCTTCAGCCCGGGAAGTGATCCTGGAGTCCTGGGATCGAGTCCCACGTCGGGCTCCCTGCATGGAGCCTGCTTCTCCCTCTGCCTGAGTCTCTGCCTCTCTCTCTTTCTTTCTCTATGTATCTCATGAATAAATAAATAAAATCTTAAAAAAAAAAAAAAAGAATCCAGAGTCCAGGTGCCTCGTATGCACCAGAAAGCTACTTCTAGGTTCCTTGGGGTCCTAGACACACTTCTAGAATCTTAAACTGGGAGTCCAGAAAATTTTCAGTCGTCTTTTACAAATATTTCTACCACTTATGGCACACTCACAGAAATGTTTGTTCCTATACTCCCATGATACCAGCAACTTGTAGGATTTGGGGGAAAGAGCATCATTAGACCAGTAGGGGAGGAGAGGATGGGCTTTCGAGTCATTACCAACCTTTAAATCCTGCGCCCTCTTAGACAAGTTACTTGATTTTTCTTAATGAGTTTCCATGTCCTCCCCCCAGATACAGAGTAATAGCCACCTTTCTGGGTCACTGAAAAGATGAGCAATAATGCATATAAACCACCTCAAACAGTGATATGTCCACCCCAACAGTGATTGAAGGTGATTATCAATAGTCTGACACAAGTATGAAAAGTTTTTATTATCAGCACAGTACAATATATGTGGGTTCTATCAAACAGTCTCTATAATATATCCTCCAAGGAGAGCAAGTCTCTTTTAGAGACCACATGTCTAGAAAGAGCCAATGCCTGCTTTTTACCGTCCCTCCCCTGCTCCCTCTCTCTCTTCTCCCTCCTCCTGCTTTCAGAATCCCCATCCCTAAACCCTAACCCCTTTTGTAAACAGTCTTTGCAACTGAGAACTTCAGTTGTGTTCTGACCTCTTTATAAAACTATCAGCATTTGCAAGGACTTCTCTGTCTCTTCCTAGACTTCAGTTCTTTTCCCAGATGGCTCTTTTCATTACTTGCTTCCTATGAGAGGCAGATCAGTTTGCCGGGGATAGGAAAATGTTGAAGAACACGGCAAATAAGACACAAGCAAAATAAGCTGCAATTGCCATCCAAAATCGTGGATCCTTCAGCAGTGCCTTATCAAAGCAGCTAAACACAGTGTAACCTATGGACATTCCAGCGAATCCGCCTGCAATGTGGGCTGCAAAAGACACCTGGGGAGGGAGAGGGAAGCAATGAAAATAAGTGAAGAAAATGCTGTTTTCATATTCGAGCTGCATCACCCTCTTCCTAAAACACAAATGCCATCAAACAAGAGTCCCAAAAGCTCACAGAACAAGGAGAATAAGGCAAAAGAGACACTTAAAACTCCCATGTGCACAGAGAGGAAATGTTCTGAGAACGTGCAGAGCCAAAAAATGTCATTTCATCAGCTCTCTGAGTGCACAGGACCGAGCCACTGTTTCTCATTCTCTGTCACCATCACGTTCGGGATGGTTCTATATGTCAAGAGAATGTGTTGCATGACCACAAGGGATCTCAGTAGGAGCCGTGTCTGACCCCACATAAATGGAATGTCCGAATGAGAACCCAGATGATGGATACACACAAATATGCAAACAAACTATCCAATTCAAAGACTACTTAAAACTGAAAATCTCTGCCACGTGTTTTTTTATGTTTTTATGGTTTTTTTTTTTTTTACTGCCAAGTCATCTGGACCCAAATTTTCATTGCTATTTTCCAATCAGCTTTTTATTACCCTGTAGACAGTGAAATCCCTTCTCCCCTGTTTTGCTCCCAGTAGGGCAGGTGCAGAGAAATAGAGCTGGTGGGGATCAGGGCTGTGAGAGAGTTAAGTGAAAAGGACAATCCAAAAGTCTGATTTCCTCAGGAATTTGCTTGCCTTCCTAATGGAAGTTTGGCTGCCCTAAATGGGTGCCCCTATTTGCTGGGCCTTTTTAGCTATGGATAGGATAGGTAAACAAGCTTTCATTGAAAAACATAATAAACTGAACTCACCGGTGACCCATCTGCAGGGACAAAGAACCTTCTGTAGAGAGCAAATCCCATATCCAACATAACTAGAAAGAAAAACAGCCTGATGAAGCCCCCAGGAGCGCCACAACAACGCACCAGATGTTTTGGGTTCTCTTCTGATAATGGTGGCAGCTAACATTTATTGAGATTTACTCTGTGCCAGGTGCTGCTGTAAGAGCTTTATGGGTATTAATTCCCTAATCCTCACAAAGACCCTAGGAAATAAGTATATCATTATCCCATTTTACAGATGCGTTCATCCCACCTGTATACTGGTTATCTTCTATGCACCAGGCACTCTTCTAGGTGGTGGAGATACTGCAGGGAACAGACCAAACAGCCCTGCCTCATAGAGTGGATGGTCTAGTTGGGGCGGAGAGGTTGGGGCACACCAGTAAAACATACACTACATCAAATGATGCTAAGTGCTCCATCAAATAGACAAAATGCAAAGAGAGGAAGGAGGATTAGGAAAGCTGGGAGTAGGGTGTGATGTTTAGTAGGAGAGTCAGGGACAGTCTCACTGAGACTATGCCATTTGACAGAGATCAGAGAGCAAGCCATGCTGACATCTGAAGTAAGAGTCTTCCAGGCAGAGGGAAGAGCAAGTGCAAAGTCCCTGAGGCAGGACTGTGCCTGATGTGCTGGAGCTGAGCTGGCTGGCTGGCTAATTTTCAGAGTGATTCCCTGCCCCTCCAAGAACAGCAATAACATTCACCTGGGAACTTAGTAGAAATTTAAATTCTCAAATTAATAAAATAAAACAAAACAAAATAAAAATAAAATTAAATTAAATAAAATTAATAAAATAAAATAAAAATTCTCAGGCCCACCCCAGCCTTATTGAACCAGAAAACTCTGAAGATGAGGCTCCAAAGTCTGTGTTTTAACAAGACCTCCAGGTGACTCTGGACTATAAGTAGGGATAAAATTATAGGCGTGGAACAGGGGACAAATCCTGTAGGGGCTTTATGGGCCGCTGTAAGGGCTTTGACTCCAAGTGGCAGGAAACCTAGGAAGGTGTCTGAGCACAGGAGTGATATGATTCAACTCATGTTTTCACAAGATTGTTCTCGCTGCCCTACAGGGAGGACTGGAAGGGAGCAAGGATGGAGCAGGAGACAACTGATACTGCACCAGTCCGGGCAAGAAATGACGGTGGCATCTTATCCATAGGGAAACCAAAATACCCAGGGTAAGTACTCATCCAAGGCCACGCAGCTCAGAGGTGGGGGCAGGATCCGAACCGTAAGCAGTCTGGCTGTGGAGGCCCCTCTCTCCCCCACCAGGAGCACTGAAGACGGACCAAGGAATGACATGCATCCACATCTCCAATGGGACAGTGAAAGCCAGTATTTGGAAGAAGCCAGATCCTGGGGGTCTCTTGGCCTAGAAGAACTCCGCCCTCCGTGTGCCCTGCACTTGGAAACCTCTCGTACAGCTGTCACATTCCACACCCACTGTCCCCACCCCACCCTGTGCTCCATTTAGTGAGCCGTCGTGTCCTCACAGATGGAAAGGCTTAGTCCTTGCCTTTGGGAAAATAGCATCACGACCCTGTGTTGTGGCTCGTTTCCCTTTTCAGGACAGTATTGATGATGTTCAAGTGACTAGACCGGAATGGAGGTCGAGGAAGTACTCAATAGTAATTTAACTGTAAATGACTATTACATAACACACCGGATTAAACTCGGCTGTGTTGTATTTTCAATCCTCATGTGAATCTCCTAATCCAGTGTAAAGGCACACCACAGAGACAGAACTAGGAAAGTCTAAGAAAACCACCCCATGGGACAGGGCTGACTTACTGGAAGCAGTTACTCTGGCCTCGTTGTCATCCACAGGAGGAGGCCTCCTTTCAGAAAGTTTTTGTGACCCTCAACTGTCAGTTTCTCCAATCTCTTTCTCTCGGCTCAGGCCCTTCCTCCATATCTCTGCCCAGGTCCTTCTGCTTCCCAGGGGAGCTTGCTTCTACATCCGCTGCAATATCTACACTAGGACATGTCTTCCCACCTGAAAAGAAGCTTCTGTTCCAATAAACCAACTCATTGTCCTCACTAAAAATCTGACACTGATTTTAAGAGAAGTTGCCTTTATATGGATTTTTTTTTTGAAAGGTGAAAATGCAGGATTTCCTTTTTCAAAAGGGAAGCCCAGTTGCCTTACTAGAAGACACATCCAAAAATAAGGCTTCATGAAGGAAGGTATTATAATACCTTCATAATTAATAATAATTTACCTTTTTTTTTGCCCTTTTTTAAAACTATATATTTCCCAAGGAAATGTGTTTAAAATTTTTTAAATACTCATATTTTGTTACTCTAACGTGTGTTGCAACTTTCGTCATCTTCAGTAGCAGGTAAACCAGGCCAAAGAACTTTCAGAAGTGGCCCGTGCCAAGGAGAAGGGAAGGGTAACGCCAAGGGGTCTTAGCTACTTTGTAAAATGAAGTGACTTTATTACTTACCTCAGGAATGACATAATGTTACATAAACTATTTTTGGAGCCTCCCTGTGCATAAGGAAAGGGTTTTTACTCCAAAATTGAAGAGTATTAAAACCATTTCCCCATCAAGGGTCTGAGGCTCCCTTTACAAAGTCATTCATAATTACCTAAAAGAAACAGGTTGAAAACTGGGTAACTTGTGTGTGGCAACATTTTTTGGTCACAGGATTTGTCCCTTGGTCCTGGTTGTGACGCTTAACAGCCCAGGTGGCAGCTCTTCTGCACAGCGATTCTCCTCACCAAGCCCAGACACTAGCTCTCCCTTCTGTGCTCACAACTTTCCCTCCCATTTTCAATTTCTCAGGGACAAAAATATTACATAGAGTATATGTGACCTATAAACAAGTCACTTATCTTCTCTCAGGATGAGTTTTGTGTTTACAGCTGAAGTGCCCATAAGCTGGATTTAGTGTCTTTGCTCAGAGGTAGTTGGCCCTGTTTCCAGCAATGTGGATAATTGAACTCTTGATACCCATTAGCAGAACCATTTCTTCCTTTCTTTTTCTTTCTTTTTTTTTTTTTTTCATTTCTTCCTTTCATGTGGACAGCCCAAATCTTCCATCTTGGCCTCCAAGCGTGACCCTACGGTCTGACCCAGGGTCTGTCTTTCCCTGTGCAGCTACAGCTTCAGCCAGAGCAGGTGCAGAAACACGAGGTACTAGCCCTGCCCTGGCTCCTTCTTCTTCTACCCTGGGTGGCCTGCCCCCACCCAGAATCTGCCCTGACATTCCGACTCAGCTAAAATTCCACCTCCTCTCCAGATTGAGCACCCTTCCTAAATTCCCTCAGCATGTAATTCTCTGCTATAATTCTTAGAGATTTCAAAAGCCACATTCGCCATCCTGCTTGTTCCTGGACCCTCTGCCTCTGTCTTCAACCCTAAGCCACCCACTCTGTGCTTAGATCCTAGATTGGTGTTTTATTCTTTTTTTTTTTTTAATCTGACAATGTATAAATTGAGGAAGAAAACAGATTATGTCAGTGGTTTTCAAGCTTTCCCATTTCAGGCAAAATCATATACAGGGTCCAATGTATGAATGAGAAAAATCCAATATATAAAACATAAATGAGAAAAGAAAAAGAAACATAAATGAAACTGTTGTGGCTAAAGTAGACAGAGTACCTAAAGCTCTGCTCTCTTGACTTCCCCCACTCCAGAAAGAAACAAAAAGCAAAAACTCATTACTGAGGCACCTCCAAAAACCACCCATGGGCATCTGTGAAAACTCCTCCATGGACCTTTCTGCTTAGGGCTATGGAGCCACAGTTCTTTGTCACTCCATGCTAGTGTTTAGGAAAAGTGAGGCCCTCTGGAGGTCAAACCAATAACACTATAGGTGCGAAGTGTTCACAAAACAAACTTACCTATAAGGATGATGATCAGTAGTCTGACAATTCCAAAGGCAGGAATCATTTCTCGAAAATTCTTGTAAAGAGATAAATAAAAATAATGTAAGCTATCTATTGGCCAATGAAACTTCAACTGTACTCTCTCTCTCCATCTGCTTTTTCATTTGAAGTTTGAGTGTCAAATATTTACAAAATAAAGCAATGCTGTTGCAGCCAGTTTTCAAATGTATTTGGGAAGTACAATGCTGGTGCACTTTGGAGAACAAAATGAATATTTAACTCCATGATATGAAATAGACATAATTACATTAGCAGGAAAAAATATAAATATAAGTAATATGAAATCAATACTTCACGTCAGTGATATGATAGATAGATGATAGATAGATAGATGCTGTCAAACTAACTGATGAAATATTTTTAAGGTTTTATTGGTTAATATTCATTCAATACTTTATCCTCTTTCCCAATGGAGTTAGTTAAAATTTGAGTATTACCTTAATCTTTTAGATAATTTAAAAGAATTTAAAATATTGGTTAAAAAGATCAAGTTAGATTTTAGTTGAAAAATCTCAGTCCAGGGGCACCTGAGTGGCTCAGTCACTTGGGTATCTGACTCTTGATTTCATCTCAGGTCATGTATGATCTCAGGGCTGTGACATCAAGTTCTGTGTGGGGCTCTGGGCTCAGCCAAGGGGAGTCGGCTTGAGATTCTCTCTCCCTCTGCCTCTCTGCCTATTCGCCCCCTCTCTTTTCAAAATAAATACATAAACTTAAAAAAAAAATCTCAGTCCAATTTACAGTACCCTTCTGTGTTACTAAAAAACAACTGAGTCAGGGCACCTGGGTGGCTCAGTTGGTTAAGCATCTGCCTTCAGCTCATATTGTGATCTTGGGGTTCCAGGATCAAGGCTCCCATTGGGCACCCTGCCCAGTGGGGAGCCTGCTTCTCCCTCTCCCCCTGCCCCTCACCCCACTCATGCCCCCCCCCAAATAAATAAATTATGTTTTTAAAAAAAGAACTACTGATGGGCAGCCCTGGTGGCTCAGCGGTTTAGCGCCGCCTTTGGCCCAGGGCATGATCCTGGAGACCTGGGATTGAGTCCCACGTCAAGCTCCCGGCATGGGGCTTGCTTCTCTCTCTGCCTGTGTCTCTGCATCTCAATCTCTGTGTCTCTGAATAAATAAATAAAATCTTTAAAAAAACTTTTAAAAATAACTACTGAATCAGAAAGACATCTCCACTTTAATTTATTGAGTTACTTCTCCTTTCCTCTTCAATTTATTGACTCTCTTCCCAAAGAGTAGACAATGAAATACCCAAGTTTATTCTAAATCAGTTATTTTTAATCAAAGCCTACAGAAACAATTTACATAACAATCCAGTACATACAGAGCCAGTATTATGTGTGATATATGTTGAAATTTTTGTAATTTTTTCTTTTTAATTTTCTTAATTTTTTTATTACTTTAAGGCTCGATGCCCAACATGAGGCTTGACTTCATGACCTCAAGATTAAGAGTCATGTGCTGTACCCACTGAGCCAGCCAGGTGCCCCTCTTTTTGATTAATTTTTGGTCACAATTCTTAAACTGCTCAACCACTAATGGGTTGCAATCCAAATTTTGAAAAACATTTTTCTAAATAACTTCTATTTTTGGAATAGTTTTATAATTGCTTCATATTTTCCTCCTAGAGTATTTTTATAAAGTATACATACCTACATGGTTAAAGGATTTAAGAACTAGTTAGGAATTACACTATAGGTTGTTTTAGAAAGTGGTTGGCATTCTTTTTTTTTTTTTAATTTTTATTTATTTATGATAGTCACACAGAGAGAGAGGGAGGCAGAGACACAGGCAGAGGGAGAAGCAGGCTCCATGCACTGGGAGCCCGACGTGGGATTCGATCCCGGGTCTCCAGGATCGCGCCCTGGGCCAAAGACAGGCACTAAACCACTGCGCCACCCAGGGATCCCAGTGGTTGGCATTCTTACATACTATATCATGGTATGCCAGCTTTGGAGGGCAATTTGGCATTTATCTATGAAAATTTAAACCCTTCACCCAGTAAATCCATATCTAGGAATTTATCCTACCAAAATACACACACACACACACACACACACACACACACACACAAATGCAAAAAGATAAATGTAAGAGAACATCCTTACAGCATTACCTACAAGTGTGAATAGGTGGAGTCACCCCAATTTCTTTTCATTGAAGGATTAAATCAGGATGCAGCCTAGCTAGTGCGCTGTGGAGCACTTGAAGAGATTGAAGTGATTTCTGTTTACTGATATGGGTAAATGGGATCAAAGTAACTATGTTAAGATGTAGAATGGTATCTTTAAGGGTGGGTCAATTTTTGTAGCCTTAATTTTGGCAGGATTTTGAATACATATAGAAAAAGGTTTAAAAGGATGTACAGTAAACTGTTAACAGATACAATATTTGAGATTTTGACTATTTTTCAACTTAATTTTTTTTTTTTTAGTATTCATCACTTTTGAGATCAGAAAAAAAAGAGATTAAAATATAAAAGGAAAATTCTGGTGCCCAGAAGGAAGATGAGTGCTCAGTAAATATGATGAAGATTCCCTGAACCAAATACTAGTTAACTCTTTAAAAGAACAAAAAAATCCAAAGATTCCATTCCCAAAGTTCTTACCACCAGAACATTCATAAAATAGCCTCCCATCAGAGCATAGACTCCTCCTGAAGCACCCACAAGGTATCTGAGCGGGTCAAAAATGGAGCTGGCAAGGGACCCTAAAGAAATAAAAAACAAAGGATGACACATAATTGTAAGAATCATGAAAGGTAAATCTTTCTAATACGAGGTGGAAGTTGGGAAGTTTGGACCATTATCATATTAACAAGCAACAAAGTAATTTTGTTTGTCTCTTCCATCCTATAAAGGTATAGCTATGTGAGCTAACTACCTTAATTTTTCTGAAATAATAAATGTTCAGCATGAGGGCAGTATAACAGGGACAAGAGCACAAACTCTAGTGCTGAAATTACCACCTGTGTGACTTGAGCAAGTCTCTTAATCTTTCTGTGCCCCAGTTTCCCTACATAAAGAGAATATTAAAAGAAATTACCTGAATGCATTGTCAGGGGAAGTAAATGGATTGATATGTGCATCGTACTTAGAACGCTGCCTGACACGCATTATGTACTTGTTAGCTATTGTTTCAAAATATTGCAAGCATTTAGTCAAAACTATCCAAATACCTGAGACATTCCAACATTTCATTATCTGATGGCTGGCTTTCTCATGGAGTCAAGATGTGGCCTCAGAACCCTTTTCAACATAGCATTAATCAGATTCGCCAAACAACAGGAAACCTATTTGCCAACCCAATCTTAGATTTCCTGAGCCAAAACAAGACTTTCAAATCACCTAAAGTCAAACTCTAAGTTGCTCTCTCTGTACTGCTTTGTTCTACTACTTAGTTTTTTGCTCTTAAGGCTCGCCTTCATTCCTTAGGATACAATGTAATACCTGCTTTGTGCAAGAAAGACAAAGTGGCCTTAGGAATCATACAGATGAGTAAACAATTATAAGATGCAGAATAAAATAACTACTATGATTTCTTAAAAGTAGTGAATTTACTATGGAAGCACTTAGGAAGGAATGATTTCTTTTTCAACAGAGAGGTGGAAGCCTTGCTGCTCTGAGAAAGAGGATGTAGCATTTTGATTAAACTCTAAAATATTTTTAAGATAAGGAGAAAGTAAAAATAAATAAAAATAAATAAAATAAAATAAAAGATAAGGAGAAAGCATTCAGGACTTAGGGAACTGGAAAAGCAAAAACATAGAAACAAAAGTATATGGGTGACTAAAAATTAGGAGTAGTCCAATAAGTTTAGGGCAATGGTCCTCAAATATCAACCTTCAGACTAGGGCTGGGGTGGTTGCATCTTAATCATATGAGTAATTTATTTTTAAAACAGATACAAATGTCCACTTCTGGCCACGATGGAGTAATAAGGATAAGATTATCTCTCCCGCTTGGAAGAACCAAAAGCACTGGACAAACTCTGTGAAACAGTGGTCTCCAAAATACTGGACACCAGATAGCAAAGGACAGTGAATCCTGACATATAAGAAATATATGAGGTGAGTTGTCTGATTGCCCAGCTTTACTGCCTTGAGAGAGATTACAGGCTACAACACATGAAGGGGAAACCCAGGTATATCTCAGTAAACTTTAAGTTGATGAGATAGAGTTTGAAGTCCAGATAGTCCCAGGCAACTGGAATTTGCAAGACAGTGCACCAGAGAGGAAGGAGCACCACAGAGGGAACCCCAGAGAGGAGCACATGAGGAAATTACCTGAGCCAGGGAAAGGACCACTAGAAAGGAGTAAAGGGAGGATGTCTGAGTGGCTCAGTGGTTGGTGTCTGCCTTTAGCTCAGGGTGTGATCCTGGAGTTCCAGGATCAAGTCCCACATCAGGCTCCCTGCATGGAGCCTGTTTCTCCCTCTGCCTGTGTCTCTGCCTCTCTCTTTCTGTGTCTCTCATGAATGAATAAATAAATAAAATCTTCCAAAAAAAAAAAAAAAAAAAGAAAGGAGTAAAGGAAAGAACGAATAGCTTTGCTCACACAGCACCAGAGAGGCTAAGTAACTTTCCAAACTAGAAAACTTCATAATTCATGGGGCATTGGGTAAAGTACACAGAAGGATCCTACACCAGTAATGGGTAATAATCACACTAAAAAAACACAGTTTCATCTAGCAAAGCTTACCAAAAAGTTTCAAACTACTTCCAAGTAACTGTGTTCCAGAACAAATTTAAGGAATACTTATAGGAATACAATAATATCCACCATCCAAAGATTAAATGTCTAGCATCCAAACAAAAATGGTCAGATATGCAAAGAAACAGGAAAATATGACCCATAAGAAAAAGAAAAAGCAATCAATTAAAACGTTCCCAAACTAACACAAGTGTAAGTTTTAGCTGATAATGGGAATAAATAATTACTACGACTGTAATACTGTATGTTCAAAAATTGAGACATACAGGATACAAAACACTCAAATTTCTAAAGACAAAAACTACAATGTCTAAGATGAAAAAATACATCAGTAGAGTTTAATGACACATTAGACAGTACTGACGAAAAGATAGTGAACATGAAGACATAGTAGTAAAAGTATCCAACATGAAACACATAGAGAAGATTTTTTTTTTCATAAATACAGCATCAAAGAGCTGTGAGTCGATTTCAAGCAACCTAATACATACATAATTGGAGTCCCCAAAGAAGAGGAGAGAAGTCAGGTACAGAAAAAATAATTGAAGAAATTATGGCCAAATTTTTCCAAAGTTTTATGAAAACTATAAATCCACCAATCCAAGAATTTCAACAAACCCCAAGCACTGGAAACATGGATAAAACTATACCAAGTCACAACAAAATCAAATTGTTCAAAAGCAGTGAAAATCTTAAAAGCAACCGGAGTAAAAAGACATGTTTCCTACTAAGGAACAAAGATAGGGATGGTAGCTGATTTCTCACTGGAAATGATGCAAATGAATAAACAGTAGAGCACACCGTCTTTAAGCCATTGAACAAAAAAATACAGTCAAGCTAGAATTCTGTGCCTAATAACAATATATTTCAAAAAGGAAGGCAAAATAAGGATTCTTTTTTCAGACATACAAAGGCTGAAAGAATAGATAAACAGCAGACTCATACAAGAAATGTTAAAGGAGGGGCACCTGGGTGGCTCAATCAGTTAAGTGGCCAACTCTTGTTTTTGGCTCAGGTCATGATGTCAGGGTCCTGGGATTGAGCCCCACTTTGGGCTCTGTGTTCAGCAGAGAGTCTGCTTCAAGATTCTCTCTCCTTCTGCCCCTCCCCCCACTTGCTCACACACTCTTTCAAATAAATAAATAAATAAATAAATAAATAAATAAATAAATAAATAAATAAATACTTAATTTAAAAAAAATGTTAAAGGAAATCCTCAGGCAGAAGGAAAAAATATCAAATGAAAATATGAAATTATACAAAGGAATGGAGGGCATTGGAAATGGTGAGAACATGAACAAACCCACAAGATTTTGCCTAATTACTTAAATTCCTAGGGAAGATACTGTTTACTAGAAATAATAAGTGAATTAAATTGGAGGATAGATCAAAGAAATCAACTTTATTTCCATGTCATAGCAGTGAAGAATTGGAAATAGAAAATTTTTAAATAGTACTTTACAGCACTGTAAAGTATTTTATCAAAAATATAAAATATGGAGATAAATCTGTACTTTAGATACAGATACTTTAAAATATAAAATATGGAGATAAATAGTACTTTACAGCACTGTAAAGTATTTATATCAAAAATATAAAATATGGAGATAAATCTGACCCCCCCACACACATACACACAAATGTGCAAGAGTTGACTCTGAAAGCACAATTCCTAAAATCTACAGAGTGATAAGTTATACACCAAAACTTTAAAACTCCTATTCTTCAAAAGATAATATTAAGAACATGAAAAGACAAGCAACAGACTAGGAGAAAATATTTGCAAGTCATATATCTGATAAAGGACTTATGATCAGAATATACATTATTATATATAATAAAGAATATAATCCAATTTTAAATGGGCAAAGATTTAACAGATACCTTACCCCAAAAGAAGATATGTGGATAGCAAATAAGCACATGAAAATATATTCACCATCATTAATTGTTAGGAAATGCAAATTAAAACCCAGTGAGAGGGACACCTGGCTGACTCAGTCAGTGGAGCATTTGACTTTGGATCTCAGGGTTGTGAGTTCAAGCCCTGCATTGGGTAGAGAGATTACTCAAAAATAAAATGTCTTTTATTTTTTTAATTATTAAATTTTCAAGTAGGCCCCACACCCAGCATAGAGGCCAGTGCAGGGCTTGAACTCATAACCCTGAGATGAAGACCTGAACTGAGATGAAGAGTTGGCTACTTAACCAACTGAGCCACCTGGATGCTCCCAAAATAATTTTTTTAAATATAAAAAAATAATAAATCCATCCATCCCAGTGAGATACCTTCATACACCCAATAGACTGACTAAAATTTTAAAAAACTGATGTTAGCAAGTGTTGAGAATTGTGGAAGAGCTGGAACTTCTGGTGAAGGTGTAAAATGGTACTACAGATGACCCTTGAACAACACAGGTTTGAATTGCTCAGGTCCACCCTTATGCAGATTTTTTCCCAATAAATACAGCATAGTATTGTAAATGTGTTTTATCTTCCCTATGATTTTCTTTAAGTTTTGTTGTTATTTTTTGCCTTTAGTAATCTCCATACCCAACATGGGGCTCAAACTCATGACCTCAAGATCATGTGACTACATGTTCTTTCTTCTTTTTTTTTTTTTAAGATTTTATTTATTTATTCATGACAGACACAGAGAGAGAGAGAGAGAGGCAGAGACACAGGCAGAGGGAGAAGCAGGCTCCATACAGGGAGCCCGACGTGGGACTCGATCCCGGGTCTCCAGGATCACACCCCAGGCTAAAGGAGGCAGTAAACTGCTGGGCCATCGGGGCTGCCCTATAGGCTCTTTCTTCTGACTGAGCCAGCCTGCCACCCCCTTATGGTTTTCTTAACTGTTTCCCCTAGTTTATTTTATTATAAGAACACAGTAAATAATAATATATACAAAATATATGTTAATTGACTATGTTATCAGTAAGGTTTTGGGTCAACAGTAGGCTATTAAATTTTGGGAGAGTCAAACATTACATGCAAA